GAAATATATTTACTGAGAAATATGGTGACGTGTTCAATACTTATTTTACCCGCTCTATTTTTCATGGGTATTTTAATGGCCAAACACAATAAAAGTTGCTCCTAAATAATATAAGCATGTTCATTTCCCACATGTGGTGATCAGATTATTTTAGCAGTGCTGTTTACCAATGAAGGACAGTTAAAACACACACACACACACACACACATACACACAGGAAAAACTGGTTGTCAAACCAGTCCACAAAATGAGCGACTATGGCATTTCCAGACTCCTACTTTGAATATACAAACTGGGAAATGTTCCGTGATGCAGGAGGAATTGACATTAATGAATATATAGACTCTGTGATCTGATATTAACAAAAGCACACAGTATGTTATCACTTTTGTAACTGTCAATACAGTCATTTTCTCAATAATGCTGTAGAAAAAATTGTAGAAAAAGAAAAAATGCTGAAGACATTTACAATGACATTTGCTGATTGGTCTTAAAGTGAGTAGGTGATCCTTTCAAGGGTCAAGGGTCTGAAGGCCATGTTATATTTATCAGAACTTAGGCTGAAGACAGGTTATATATACACATTTTTGGAGGGCTTTTATTTTGGAATTCAGCTTCAGAAAATACGGACACACAGTTATTTTGAAATTCAACATTCAAAGTCAGATTGTCTTAGGAAATACATGCTTTATACGTTACTATAAAGTTTGCCGGCATTATTTCTTTCTCTTTTTTTGTATTTTAAAATATATATTTATTTTACTGATTGATTGATTGTTTGATTGATTGATTGATTGATTCAAAGTGGAGGCTGAACTACTTTACAGCAAAGTAGCTTTTTAAAAGGCAGATTCCCTTTAATCAGTTGCTTTATTTAGTTTCAGCAATTAGATTTATTTGGAAACAGTAGGCTGGTTTAATAAATAGTTTAGTGCCCTACATTTCACTAGTCGTATTCAGCTTTCACTAGTCTAAATTCCAGTTCCAAAGACGTTGCGATTATAAGCATACTTTACATTTAAGTTATCTGTAATCGTTTTTTTACTAGTCATGGTTTGGATTTTGTTAGTCATTACACACTTTGCAGAGAAATTGTGCTTTAAAGTAATTTAATGGGATCAATGCAATAGATCCGGATGCACAAGCGTCCTCGTGCAGGACTGGACTGGGACGTAATTTCACCACACGGGAAAAAAAGGGGCCAAAATTTTACCTTTTGGGGTACAACAGCTTGTCACCAGAGCAGTACTCTTAAAAGGACATCTTTGTACCTTTTTTTTTTACCCCAAATAGGCACATATTAGTACCCTAGAGCAGCAAGCGAGTACCCTTAAGGTACTAATATGTACCTATTAGGGGTAAAAAAGTTACAAAGATGTACTTTTAAAGGTACTGCTCCAGTGACAAGCTGTTGTACCCCAAAAGGTGCAATTTTGGCCCCTTTTTTCTGTAGCCTATACATCCACATCAATTTCTGAAACCAGACAACCCTAATATTTGTACGGCCATCACATAAAAAATGTCTAAATCCTTATTCTATAAGGCTGTGGAAAATAATTAAAGGTTCTCTCTTGAACTGCACCTTCACTTCTCTTTTCCTTTTGTTCATTTTCCCCAATATCTCTGTCTCCCCTTTTTTTCTTGAACCTGTCATTTCTTCACCAGCAGGTCTACTGGCATGAATATAACTGCATGTGTTCACTTTGTTGAAAAGAACCACCTCATTTCAATTTGTTAGCACAGAATGTTATTTATTTTAAAATTACTTAAAAACCATATTTAACAAACCTATTTCATACAAATATATTAAAACACATTTTCTAAAGTGCCCAAATGTCAAAATGAGTAGGCCTACAATAGCCTATTTAGGCTGAAAAATCCTAATACTGAACATACTATTGCATTATTAGGCTGTGACTCTTTTGTACTACCTGTACAATAAATCCATGTGAATATCTGTCTCTGTCACATTTTTTTTATGTAACTTTACAATCGATAATGATGTCCTTTAGCCCAGTATTCTGACTGATAATCTGACTGAATAGATACTAGCAGTTTAATACTCAACTAACGTTACGTTAATAAAGACAGAACTATTTCGCATATTTACAGATGAAACTGACCTGCACTTGAAACCCTGAACAGGTCAGTGATGTTGCTACATCTCACTGCTTCTTCTGGCAGCTTCCTCTCTTTCACATCGATTCTGTTCGGAACCGTTTGACGGAAGCGCGGAACAGACTTGAACCGATTCGTATAGCGCAGCGCTGCCAGTCAAGACTAACCGATTTATGATTTATTATCGATTTATTATTATAAAATGATCACTTTCGAATATTGGGAAGGCATAAATATAAAATATTATTAATAATAATTACTAAAAAAAAGTTAATTAAAAAAAAGAAGGAAAAAAAGCGTGCGGCCCAAATCAGCCGCCAGGCCACCGGGAATTCTCTCGGTGCTCCCGATGGCCATTCCGGGCCTGTCCTTGTGTCAAAAAATGTGTCATGGCAGGAGTCAGAAAATAACTGGCGAGTAGGCCTAGTTGGATTCAGTCTCGTTTTTAACGGAACTGTCAAATATTTAGATGTGTGTAAATTGTGATTTAGTGCCCATTTATGCCACAACTGGTGCAACCGGCCCTAAAGATTTCACTTAATAAAAATAACTTAACCCACGCACTTTAATTCGAAAGTAAAGAAAAGGCTAAATCATTGGCTATTTTCAAATGTTCTCTTTCGCCACATTACAAACAAATAGCTACACTTAGCCTACATGAAGAAAGGAAAGAAAGCGAGGTAAATCGTATTTTCATATTTCCTCGTTCACCAATACAAACTCTTAATAAAGAGGTCACTTACCAGAAATGTAACGTTAATGGTTTTGTTTTGGCAATGGTTGCCTTCTGTGTTTCGACAAGACCGTTACACCCTGATGATAGGCGCCATAGAAATATATATCAAAATAGAATGCTTTCTGTTTGAATTATGCAAATAAGAAAAAAAACTAGGCTAGCCTATGTTCTTGTTGTATGGTCAAAGACACTGATATTTATTTAATAATAAATATAGTTGTTTAATGGTGTCCGTGTTATGTTCTAGGCTATTTCATCTACATCAACATTGTGAACTTTTATAAAGATGCAGTACGAACGGCACAGTGGCAAAACATTTGGCATTATTTGCATTAGGGCCTATTATCGCGAGTTCTCTGCATGAAAGGCACACGACAAGTTGGATGCACTAGGCCTACTTTTTTTCTAGGAAGAATTGGCAAGCATTAGCCCACATTAAATGCGGAGTGTAGGCTATATTAGGATGTTCTGTGATGATTAAGATGATTGATAGGCAAATGTCGGTTTACGGTGTCAAGATGCACATGTGCGAAAAAGGTCTCAGTGGTTTATTTGTTTGTTTATTGCAACAGAAAGACCGTCTGAAATATGTACAAACGTAGACTGAGAATACAATTCAACGCATTCTCCACAATACATAACAATAAAACAACTAAACTGAAAATAAAACAAAAGGGCTCCGTGGTTTCAAGATGCAGTTTTATGAAATAGTATGTATCAATACCTACTATTCTGCTACACTCACACACACTGTCCAGAGATGATTTGGTAATCAGATCATCTTTACGCGTGACAATTCTATCTCTGCGCAGGCTATTATTGCGCAAAGATATATTATTCAACGGACATTCAGACCATGTCCAAGGTGGAATGGCTTAATTCCAGATATAAAACAAAGATATCTAACATACCAATAAATCACAAATAACGAATAAATTAGGAATAAATTGGATCATAATGGACCAAACATAAATAATTGCTATAAGAGAAGGACAAAACTGCAACATCTCTTCGAAAATAAAAGAAAATAGGTTTAATCTTTACATATATTATGAGATGTAGGCCTATTACACCCATGGATAAAAGCAAAATAATCCTACTAAATAATAAAACTCTTATATCGTATCTATTTTTATCTAATTTAATTTCGTTTATTGATTTTTATATGGTCCTATGATTGTCATATAATAAAATATGGGAAAACTTGCTTTTATCTATACACTGTTGCTACTTAACCTTGCCTTCAAACAGGTTTAAAAAGGAGGGCTCTTTTAAAAACAGTTAGAAAGGGGTTGTTGTACTTGAAAAACAGGAGAATGTAGAATGTCATTGTAATATCCGACTTTCTTTCTAGATTATTCTGACAGATGGCGCTGTACAATAAAGATTTGCCATCTGAAGCGCAGCTAGAGCCTTCCACCTCCGTGCCGTTCTTGGGGGCTAAATGCACATTTGAGCAAATGGTACAGAACACGCCTATAACATTAATACATGGAAAAGTACATTTGCGTAATCACTGGCGCAATTAATTTTCTATCATTATTTTATAATTAGCCTACCAAATGGTGTGCTTGTGTCTTTATGCAGTAGCTTGACTTACTTTTCTGCTTGCGTAAGCATTTCAGCAATTTCCTGCCTTCTATTGCAGCAGGGTAGTACAGGCATTGGTGAGGGGGGTATCTACGCGCATTCTGATATTTTCCCCCATACTGTAGTTTTTCAAAAATATACATTCCATGTTGTTCTTTTCAGTCATCATGTATCAAACCAATGAATAATTCTTTCAAAAAAATGAAACGAGAATGCTGGTGTGTATTACCTACATACTGACTTGAAATCTGATATAAAATATTGGAAACTTCCCTCATTTCTGTACACACGTGACCCTGGAACAAAAAGTAGTTCGTTTGTGCTCTATCTATATTCTTCCGCTTGCTGTACTTAAAAAATTTTTTAATTGTTAATATATTTTTTTATTTAATGTCATAAGAGTTAAATATTTGTACCTAATAATGTGTATATCTACATACTGAAACACAGAAAAAAATAATTTGTATATTCATAAAATACTGCATACATGGAACTATTTGGCACGGCGTATAAATATGTTGGCCGAACGTCACCTTTTTTCAATGGGAAGCCATGATGGAAGTTTGAGAGTTTAACAGAGGAGAAGTGAAGGAAAAGGAGCTGAGTTGAGTCCGCTCCTACGAGACATTTAAATATCGAGTTTTTATTTCTTGGTGGAGGCTGTCACCTTTCATTTCATGTGTTGGAACCCTGGCATCGCGGATTGTTGCAATGTTCGATGGCTTTTATTTTTTTAAGGATGGGTAGACGAGCTAGCGCGCTAGCCGTTGAAGCTAACAGCTAGACGGAGCGCGAGCTGAGCGGGAGCGGGGCTTTGACAACCGTTCTTGAAGTGGAAGCTCACGGAGAGGACCCTCTCTCCGCCTTTCCGTTCAATCACGGCGGCTACGGTGCGAACAGAGACTTGTCGTGCACTAGAAATTCTGCAGTTTGAGACTTGGGACGTCGCCTATCTTTTCACCCGGGGCTCGTCTGAGCTGAGGAGGGCATTTTGGAAGCCGGGCCTGTGGTGGTTTGGAGCGAGGCCCTCGATGAGAGATCCACAGCAGACTCCTTTCTAGCTAGCAGGGGGACTGCGAAACGAGCAGAGCATTAAATTGACCGATCGTCGGAAAGCAACAATACTCTCACTCACACTAAAAACCTTAAAGACTCCTGTCACAGCCATGGCTGGGATCATAAAGGAAATTGTCAGCCGAAACAAATATAGATACCAGGAAGATGGATTCGACTTGGACTTGACCTGTATCCTCTTTGATCAATCAAATGTCCCTGTTCTGTCTATTGTGTAGAAACCAGTGTCTGCTGTGAAGGTAATGGCTTGCATCTTGTTCTAAATCGAGAAATCTCTAACGTTTGATCGGAGGATACATACGAAATCAGCGTTTGTTTGTTTTAAAAGATTTTTTTTGCACAAACTATTGGCACTGGCACCTAGTCGGCGACTGGAACTTGACATGATCTAGATCTAACGTTATTAGTTTCTGTATCTGGATCAAGTCGAAGCCAGCGCCGTTTAAATTCATGTCAGTTCTCAATTTAACCAAATTAACGAGCAGACAGAAAATCAACAGACCGCACGCGCACTCATTTCATCCGTACAGTTGTTCTGGGCTAGTTGCATGTGCAAACTACAATATAAGCCACGCCAGTTAGGTTGTAAAATGTCATTTTCCCTCCTTATGTAATCTGATCCATCGATTGGCTGCTAATCTGTGATCCAGTACACAAAACGCGTTCATTTCAACTCAAGGCTTCTCGCACCAAAACTGTAATTTGGGGGTTTAAAACAAAAGATGCGTCGCGTAGAGGTCTCGCTGGTTTATGTAATGCGATGGATTAGATGAGATGCACAAGCAGTGTCACACAAAGAGCCATTGCATCAGCTGCTCGCAGAAAATAGATCTCGCGTTCAATTTGGTGTAGTTTTGATTGAGCAAAAATGAGTCAGTTCACACGCTTGCGTACAAAAGGAAATGCTTTAGTATGTGAAGTATGCCTTTTTCGTAATCGCAGGAAGAGATCCGCGCAGTCCTGTTAAAGAGGACTCCTCTGTTGAGCTGCATTGTAGAAACGTCACTGATGCCTGCTCACTTATGTGTCATTGTCAATGTCATTTGCGTTTTTCAAGCACCGGTATTGTTTGAATGTACATTGTTGGTTTTGTGATGGCTTTGATCGGGCGCGTTACATCCTTGCAGATGAAGTGCAAAGCATAAGTGGTTTGATTGCTCGTTTTATTTCAGCAGGATTCAGTGATATTGAACATTAACACTAAACCTGACGTTTAGCTGTAGTCCTGTTAACCTCACTGTCCCATTCGTTGCCCTGTAATATACAACAAGGCAGGTGTACCAAACACTATCATTGAAGAGGTGCAATTATTTCTCTGTATAGCGCTGTAACAATGGCAATAGGAATCTGGTAGGCCTTGGTGCATGTTTTGTCGAGGATGTTGAAATGTTAAGTGTATTTGCACTAATTTACACCATGCTGTTTTGCTTTACATCTAGTGTATTACATGAGTAGCCTGTGAATGAATTGATTGCATGGATGTTGATTTGCCCCTGCCTGCTTAGATGGTGTGTGGGTTCACTATATTGCATTGTACCATACTATGCACTCATTGCATTTACAACACACAGTGTGTTGAAGTGGAATGTAGAACTCCCTGTTCTTACAGACGTTTTGAAAGGATAAATATGGAGAATGATTTCATTCTTTCAGTCCCTTTTTATGTTACTGATGAGGCAACACTGTCTACGGCAATGATTGGTGAGAATACAAACTCTTCATTTGATGAAATGCATCCTGTATGATCATTCGTCATGAAATATGTTCACTAGATGTAAGATTTCATTTTTTTCTTTAACTTCTTTGAAGTTAGCCAAGATTAGACTAAAATTTGTCTAAAGCATTTCTGGATAGAGGAACTGACCTTACTGTATCTGCACAGCTATTGCTCTTGATGTACACAGTGCTCAACCAATGTTTTTTTTGTTGTTGTTTTTTAGGATTTAGATTTTATTTGATCCATTTATTTCCAGTACATCTGCAGTTTTCATTAAAGGGGTTGTTGATCATTTTATGTCTGCAAGACAAAAATCAAAACAAACAAACACACAAATGTGCTAGGTAATGTCAGTGCAACACTCACCTGATTGGACAAGTGACAGTTCTGCGCGAAACTGTCCAACAATGGCCCTGGACCGTTTTTATTGTCAAACCTTCAATTATTTTTATGTCCAGTGAGTATGAATGAGGCATGGTTGCCTCATTCAGTGCATCATATTTATAGCTTATTTATGCATGGCATTTTTCTTGAGAGATATGGTCCCAAAGAGGTCATGGTGATTTAAATTTAGATAATATTCTGTGCATATCTTAGAAAGCTAGATATGTGGTATGCATTTTTCTAAATATTTTGTTCTTGGCAATTAATATAGGGAGCTTTTTAAAAGGGAGAAACTGTTATTGATTAAATATCCATCTTGAATTTGACCAGATCGCTATGATCTGTGTTTTTACGAAATGCAATTCAACGCATTTAGCCTTTTTAGACATCATTTAAAAATAATTTAAACTTATAATGATTGTCATGTGAAAACAGTGAAAGTCTAATTTCCTGGCTGGTTCAGATGGTAAACCTTTAATCTCTGAGCTCATATCCTTACAGCTGTCAAAAAAAGTTTTTTTTTTCTTCTTTGCTGAAGTGTCAAGTTTGCTGGTTCAGGAGTGATAACCACATGCTACACCATCCTAGAACACAAGACGTTGCTTACCGTCATCTAGTCTAGACTTTTTTGTTTTTTTCCTAGAGCATTCTGTCAAAGGCCATCATTGTATGCTACTATGATTGATTTTTTTTTTTTTTTTTGAGATTGTAATTAAGGGTTTGTTTAACTCGTTTGCATACAGATTGAAGTGATCATGATAGATTTAACATTTAATATTTTGTTGTATTTCAACAACAATAATACACAAATTTTTGTTGTATTTTTGTTAAATTGTGGAAGTTGATTTAAACAATTGTGAGTCTCATTTTGATAAATATTGATAGAATTGCTTTGCCACCAGTTCATCTGCTATATCAGGGTCTGATTAGATCATCTTTGAGAAAGGACTGAAAGTGTATGTCAGGCTGAAGAAGTGATGCACTCGTTATGGAAAGTTGAGGAAGGAAAGTGATTCCAGGCTGGGCTGAGGCACAGTGTGATTTATTTAGTGCCCCTGTGTGGCCCTCTGGGTTAGAGGTCTATGCATTGGTCTCTTACAGCGAGAGCCATCTGTTCTATATTACCCAGAATGCTGTTATCTGAGCTCTCATTGCACAACTAAAAAGTAAAACGCTACTTTAGTTAAAATGAGTAAGTTCTCATCTGAAACCGGGACTTGGTGTTTGTTAGTTTCCTGCTCCTTGTGGCGTCATTTAGCTGCTCTGCATTGTTCAGCAATGTTGTCTGTTTTGGATGTGTTTAACTGGTTGATATAATTGTGTAAGACAAGTGGCCAGTGGACTTTATAAATGGGTTCATATTAGGGATGCACCGATATGAAAATTTTGGCCGATACCGATAACCGATTATTCTTTATTTTTGAAAGCCGATAACCGATATGTTGGCCGATAAATCTATATCCAAATTGTTATATACTTTTTGAGAGCCTGATTACAAAAAAGGTCTCATCATTAAAAGCCACATCCCAAACACTTCAACATAAGCAGCCTAGTTTGAACGGTGTACGTTTTAAAAATATTTTTACTCTCCTTAATCAGATGATTGTATTTTTTTTTTTGTTCCTCCTGTCTAGTGGTCGACAGATATGTGGTTTTTGACAGCCGATGCCGATATCTTGGAAAGCAGGGTGGCCGATGGCCGATAAAAAGCAGATATAATTGTATTTATTTTAATTAATATTCAAGAAATTTGAAATCATTTGAAAATGGATTAAAAAATAAATGTGTAAAATAAACATACTTCTACTTAAGATGACAAAGTATTTTTCACAAATAAATAAATATTTAATAAAAATATAATTAAAAAGGCAGTAAACACTGTAACCAACAGGGCACTCAGTATTCTGTGAAGTTTGTGTGCATTGGGAATAATATTTTTTCAAACAAAGCCAAGGTAACACTCATTGTACATACAGCACACAGTGAAAATTACATGGATATGACAGTGGGCAAATGCATAAAGCGGAGCATAATTTGATATCACGAGTTTACGATTGCGCATCTTCAGTGAGGCTGAACTCTCCTCCTGTCAGCATTCAATTCGCACGGACCGACCATCACGCAGAGAACACGCGATCATGCAGGATACACATGCACCCTTCACAAGATCGCACAGCTGGATTCAACTAAGTTTTTTAAGGTTTATGAAATTAAATGTTCATCATCAAAATAAAAGTCAGTCGCGCCGTCAAAATAAAAATCCCGCCTCGAATGCATCGGCCAAACAGAAAAACTTTTTTCTGATTTATCGGCCTTGGTGATATATCGGTCGACCACTACTCCTGTCCATATCAGTTTTCCTAGAAAGAGTCTTGGATTTCCTTAACTCTGCTATCTAGATATTTATCCTAACATTATAGCAATGGGCTTTCCTGCTGAAAGACTTGAGGGTGTCTACAGAAACAACATAGATGATGTAGTGCGGTAAGTATTCGCTTTTTATATTCTTTGGAAATTTTGTCAGTATAACATTTGTGTCTGGAAGTCTCTTATAACATTTGCAACCCATGTTGTAGCAAAACCAGAAAAACTGCTGTGATAGTTACAGCCAGAACCTCTGAAATGACCTGATGCACTGCTTTATCAGTTTACAGTATGGTAGTCACCTTCAGTGACATTTTATAAAATGTGCAACTAATGTTAGACTGTGGCATTCAATATGCCATTCCATTGTCATACGAATAAATGCATTTGTGATTTTAATTGCTTGACTGTAAATCTTAGGCTTGATTGTGCAGAAAATATTTAAAATAATGTATTTAAGTTCCACCAACAATTCAGTGCATTAGACATTTTTTCTAGTCATCCATAGTTCCTTAGTGCCGTTGGGTCTCATGCCCTGATAATTGCGTGGATTTATATGCACATTCAAACTAATTCACAGCACATGCTTATACTGTAAGGCTGAAACGATTAGTTGACATTATCGACAAGCGTCTGATCATAGCGATGTGGAGGTTTGGACCAGCTCTGCAGTTCCGTACTCCAGTAAAGTCCAGTTATGTCACGTTAATTTACATAGCACTTTATACAATTGATTGCTTTAAACCAAGCAGCTTTGTAGAATTTAACATAAGACTGTGTCAGTCAGTGTCTCTTTCAGTTAGAATTAGGCCTACCACTTTAAATTATCTTTTAAATTAAAGCTTAATCTAGCAATGAACTGCTTTGATTATTGTAACACTATAAGGTGTTTTAAGAGGGATTATGTTCTGAACAAAAGGGTTTACAAAAAAAGAAAATAATTAAAGAATGTTGAATCGGAGATCAGACAGTTCCTTTTTCATACAGTTAATTAAATGGTGATTGAGAATGTCTTTGTCATCTCATTTTGTTTGCCAAATATTTATTTGTATTGTAATTTTTTTCTTAATAATAATAATTGTAATATAATCTGACGGTCGCATGCACAAGTTAGTCATTTGCATAAAACACGCCAAAACCATCTCTATATAATAACTTTCCACACAATCTTTGTTTTCAGCCTTTTGTCACTCTAGAAAGACATATGCTAAAGACAAATGAAGATGTTTTAATTAAACCTAAGAGATTGTCGTCCTGCCGTTCAACAAAAACTTTGACTCTTCAAAAAGTTCATAATGTTATCAAACAGTTTAATAAAAAAAAAACTGAAGAGACGTGATCACTTTGTTTTAATTTTGTAATAAACAATTTAATTTAGATTTTTTTATTCATATATAAACATTGATTATTGTTGGATGGATAAAGCACATCAAATATGGTAAATGAAAGAAACAATGAGGTTAGTTCTCGTATATCAGGCAAGCACATTTGAGCTTCTGCAAGAACCAGTGAGGTTTGAGCTTCCTTTTACCATATTCAATACGGAGTGTCTATTTACACTAAGTGCAAATATCCCACCTTGTTGGCAGAGGCTATTTACACTAACTTTGACCACCAACGTGTGTTTGGGATAGTCAACACTACAAAAGACGGCTGTCAAACGTCAGCTCCAGTGGCGTAGATGGTAATGCGTGCACCACAGTCTTTTTGATGTGATCGACCCGGGTTCGAACCCGCCTTTTGTCTAACTTTTTTCCCCGTTCTTTTCAAAGCTCATCACATCTAAAAGGCTTTTTTTTTCAATAAAAATGAAGGAAATTATCAAAAAGTTGAAAATAAAGTATCAGGTAGGGTTAAGGTAGGTGTAGGGAGGGCTTTATTGTCCCAATAAGGTGACATCCATTTAATAATTTTAATTAAAATTATAGTTTACACTTGATACGTTATTGCATACTGTTTTACAATGTACTGCAATACTGGTGTGCAGATAATTGCCACTATTTGCATTAAATAGTATAAATAGCAGAAAACCCTGCTATTTTAATAGTTCAAATAGAATCTATAGCTATTTGCACTTAGTGTAATTAGAATCCATTGTTGTTTGCACTTAGTGTAAAAAGCCTCTATCGCTATTTACACTTAGTGCAAATAGCCGCTGCCTATTCAATGTGTTTTACGTATGTGGATTGATCGGTGTTTCTATGTGAATGTAAGCTTGGATTGAACTGATCAATTATGGTGCATAACGTTATAATGTCTTTATGAAGCTCTTGAAGCATTAAAAAATGGTGGAGTGACTTTCAATGGCGTGACAGAAATCTCTCCAGTGGTTTGATTTATATCTTTGTGTTTTAAAAATGAACAAAAATCTTAGGATTAAAATTTTTGTGTGAACTCTTCCTTTAATCAAAACCCACCGTGATTGTCTGGGAAAATAATTGTTGTCCTCTTTCTGCAGATTCCTGGATTCAAAGCATAAAAATCATTACAAGATATATAATCTGTAAGTGTGTTTCAAACAACTTCAGTTCTGTAAAATGCTTTTACTGCTTGAACATTTCCTCTAGTTTGCTGTTAAAAGTAGAAAATCTGCAGTTGTGTACGATTGAACATTAAAGAAAAACAAGCTTTTTGATCATTGTGAATGGAGGGCATTGTCAGTGCACATAGGTCTGTTATTTAGCTGTGAATGTTCTCTTGCTTTTGGCATTGATGCAAAGTTATTAGCAGAAATGTTACATTGAACTTTTGTACTTATCAGTTTCTTTGTGTTGTTTAGATGTGCGGAAAGACATTATGATACTGCCAAATTTAACTGCAGAGGTATGATACTTGGATTGCATAAATCTGCCATTTACTGCCGTTTTGTAAATGTGATGTCAGTTTTTGTGTGGTAACGATGAAGGTCTTGATTAACTTTTTATTTTTCTCTTGCAGTTGCACAGTATCCGTTTGAGGATCACAATCCTCCTCAGCTAGAACTCATTAAACCTTTCTGTGAAGATCTGGATAAGTGGCTCAGTGAAAATGACAATCATGTGGCTGCCATTCACTGCAAAGCTGGAAAGGGACGTACGGGTGTCATGATATGTGCATACTTGTTACACCGAGGCAAATTCAAAAAAGCACAAGAGGCTCTGGACTTCTATGGTGAAGTTAGAACCAGAGACAAGAAGGTGATGTATATGTTTTTGCTTTGTGTTTTCTTTCCCGAAAATCTCAAGTTGTGAAGTTTAAGTTTTTGTATAGAAATGTAAATCACAAGGTTAAATTTTAAAAGTCCATACTGATGTTGGCAGGAATATTACTATCATGATAGTAATATTATAGTCAAATATGTTTCGAACCTGTCAAGTCTTGGTAGATAAAAATCTACTGACCTATATCATTTCCCCCTGAGTATTCTTCTGTGGAGTGCACCAGTGCCCATCCACTTTTTCAGTGGCCTTTGTTCCAGAAGTATTTTTCCCATAGAGAATTAAAAAAAAAAAGTCTTTGTTAAAGAGTTGTATGCCATGAATCAAACCAACCAGCAATGAGGTGAATTATAACCTTACAAATATAAATTTGAAGCAAAAAAGTATTTGAATATCGAACAAAAAGACAAAGGTACAAGAGTGTGTACTTTATTGAGGGAAAGAACTGCAATTCTATGAAGAACTGCAAATGACCTAATGAAATTAAACGTGATGGAGAAATATAAAATTATTGATTTTAAAGATGTTGATTTATAGAAACAATATTTTACATTTATTGCAAAATTTGTATTTAAATATGTATATTTTTATAGAAAATATTTAATCTGTTTCAGGGCTCCAGACTGCGACCATTTTTTCTGCCTGTGCGACTAAATTTTGGCACGACCACCACGTTGTTCAACTCCTAAGCGCTGCCATTTCTGTTGCATGTGAGAAACATCAAACAGAAACTGAAAGCATAACGAAACCGCGCTACTTGTTTGAACTGCGCAGCGATTCGAGTGTAGAGCCTGGTTTATACTCGCCACGTCAGCACAAGCGCGAAGATGCACGCAGCAAAAATGACGCGAATATTGAGGAAACGATGGATGGTTTTCAAGCTAAAGTAAAGTAAAAGACCGCATCTTAAACCAGAGAGGGTGAACATATTGATATTCATGTGGGGGAAAACATGCAAGCACCATCACAGACAGCAGGTTAAGTTTTACTTTTCTTTTTGTTTTCGTTTTAAAAAGCTTGTTATCTTTGGCTGTTTACCTCCCGTTACACCATGAGGCTCTCTTTTATTTAATTTTGTATTTGATTCCTCAGTGTTTGCTAAACCTTCTGTAATTTATTAGTCGATATATAATAGGTTACAGCATGTGGTGTATGCCATGCCTCATCTTATTCGTTTTTGTTCAACATTTTGTAAGCTAGTTTGTCATTGTATCTTACTGTTTTATTGTTGTTGTTGTGCATTTTAATTAAGAATAACAATGAATCCATCTTTTGTTTTAGTCTTAAAAAGTGAAAGGTAAATGTAAGCAAAACATATGTTACGTAAAACGTAATAAGATCGTGAATTCGAAAGTGAAAGCACGCAAAGCCTGACTTATAACACAGCAAAAGAGGATCTCCCATTCACAAAATTCAAATCACAAATAATACTACTGATGAAAAAGAACGGGTTGAATGTTAACCACTTTTGTTTCCATATAGCTATAAACTATGATAAAGCATGCATTGATTAATCCCATGTTGTAGTGCAAACAAATAAATAAATAAATATTGTGACCAAATGATATTCTTGTGTAACTGAGAAAGTTAGTCGCAAAAGAGCAACCAGTGGGAAGAATGAGTCTGGAGCCCTGAGTTTGAGAGCTTAGGGAAACTGACTCTATTACGTCTTTCACAGTGCTTTATGTGTGGGTGGGCGCTATGTAGCCCTTGGGCACGGTTTGCTTATTTCAATTCTCTGATTGGTTGAGATTTCTTGGCAGAATCATGGGTCATGTAGTTTGTTTAAACCTGGAATTCTGTTAAATGATTACTAAAACATTTATTTAGAATAACGTGGGTTGATGGCATCAACAAAAGCATGTAACATAAATTAACTACCTTGTAGGTCACTTTTAAAGGTTTATAAGTAATTGTTAAAAATCAATTCCCCTTTGGAGTAAAGGGGTGGGATTATTTTTTTTTTTGACTTCTGGAACCCAACTGCTGCACCCTTTTACAGAAGTATGATGCAAATGTGTTGTGTTGAGGCGGAGACGTTTGCATTAACACTGCAGGTTTGCCGTTTCACAGGGAGTGACTATTCCCAGTCAGAGGCGATATGTGTACTACTATAGCTACCTTCTGAAGAATAAGCTGGAGTACAAACCAGTGGCCTTGCTGTTTCACAAGATGGTGTTTGAGACCGTGCCTATGTTCAGTGGAGGGACCTGCAGTAAGTGAGCTCTCTTTCTTTCTCTTTTTTTTCTTCTTTCTGACACTTGTTTATACTTTGTATTGTCATCCGTTTCGGGCTATTCAATCTTGTGCTCAGGTGAGACATATTGGTGTTAACACCTGGTATTACTTGTATCTTGCATGTGTCTTTTGTGACAAATCTGGACTTTTTCCAATTTTGTGATTAGGCATTATTTTCTTTTACGTGTAACCGGCAATGTTTAAAACTTCGTTTTAAGTTGGTGCGTAGTGGATAGGTGAGTTGGAGGCCCTTGAAAGCATTAGTATTTACCACACAAATGCAACATGGGCACATGCATTTCTAACTGCTGGCAGTTTCACATAGGATGTGCCAGTCACATTTAGTGTATGATCCTTCAGAAATCATTCTAAGATTTGCTGATTTGGAGCTTAAGAAACATTTCTCATTAACAGTGTTGAAGACTGTTGTGCTGTTTTTTTGGAAATCATTTTATTTATTTATATAAAAAATATAAAAGTTAATGGTTCACTTTTTTTTTTGTATTTATTTTAATTTTTACTTTAACATTCTGTGTTAAATAGCATTACCGTTCATTGTGGTTTCAGTGAAAGATTTTGTCCTCCATTTATACATGTATTTTAGCGACAGACATTAATACCAGGTGTACACAGGGTCTCTGTAACTGGAAATCATGTCTCTCCCCCCAACCCCCCCACCCCCCACCCCCACACACTTCTTCATCGTAACTGTGCTGAGAGACTGCTTTCACACGCACGCAGTGTTCACGCGGCTTTCCTTTTTGCTTCAACTGCTGTAAAATCTTCCCTACAAATTCAAACTCCTGCTTTTTCTATGCACCTAGACGTTTAACCTTTATCCAGATAGACCTAATGTACTTCCAGGAGTATTAAATATTTAGCCACTTAGTCTTGATGTCTTCAAAGAAAAGTGGCAGGAAAGTGTAAAGATATTCCAGGCTGATTCTTTACCTGGAGTGCGAGTTTGTCCAGTGGCGCTGTAGCTTCCATGTCTCTCTGTCTCTGACTGTACCTCCTCCGGGCCCTATTCTGAACACACTCTTGGTGACACTGATCAAGCCTGCTCTACGTGGTCCAGAGCTTCTGGACAGGATCATTCATAATGCTTTAGACAACCTGCTATGTGAAATCTGAACTTTATCCTCCATTATATTTTATTTTTGTACTTGTATGTTTGTAACGTCTGTTATGTGAATTTTTTTTTATTTAAAAAAAATAATAAAAATTTAAGCGTGTAGCTCACCGCAGGAGGGCTTCCCAGTGGTGTTGCACTTATGATTTCCTCCATAGTGTCTTTGATGGCCATTAATATTTTAGTTCAGCCCAGTCTAGCCCGGTGTGTTGCATGAGTGTGTGTTGTGTTTTAGCTCTGTTTAAACGTTTCTTCCCCTCATAGTGCCCTCTCTTGCTCTTGCTCTGGCCAGGCCACTGGACAGTCTTTAATCTCCTTCTTTTTCTCCAAGGGGATTCTGCTGTAAAAAGCAAGAGTGAGCAGATTCCGCATGGGTTCAGAAAAACCAATTGGCATTGGGGTAACATCAGCTTTTTCTAAAATGTTTCTCATTTTCAGTTCTGTTAGCCTAGCCAGTGTTGCTCTGTAAAATGTGTTTGCCATGTTCAAGTAAAAGCCGCTAGCGCCACTTTTGGGTAAGGGAGATGGGAAGCGTGTTCCAGGGTCAGCTGTTCTCAGAATAGGGCCCTTAGCGTGCCACTGTTATTTTGTCTTTTCTGTATCAATATTTCTGCTGTTTCTATCCTGTTGTTTTCCTCTATGCTTTTCTTCTGTTTTATGTTAACAGATATGCATAAACTCACATTTTTTTTTGTCACACAAGGCTGGTGGAGCAATTACACATTGTTTTATTTTGCAGATCCTCAGTTTGTGGTGTACCAGCTGAAGGTGAAAATTCACACGTCTAACCCAGCGCACACAAGGCGAGAGGAGAAGTACATGTACTTTGATTTTCCGCAGCTGCTGCCTGTGTGTGGAGACATCAAGGTGGAGTTCTTCCACAAGCAGAACAAGATGATGAAAAAGGTATGTGTCAGTTCCCAAATGGCCCCTAGTGCTCTTACAGATCATTATTGCTTTACTTTATAGCTGCATAATAGTAAATGTAATGTTGTAATGTTAGTTAAGAGTGAGGATTAAGATGCATTTTTACTTCAGTATTTCATGCAGTTTTTTTAGGGATGGAATTTTGTGGTAAGAGTGGGTCGTATGTCCTAAATTGATCACAGTATGAATAATGTATATCATGGTATCAGTATAGATCACAATATAGTGCTTATTATGCTGGAAATTCAACCTAAATGTTGTTTTAGCATATAAAATATAATGGCATATATTATGCTTTATAAAAAAAATATATATATATTTTGATTATTTAGTGATAAATGTGCTCTAAATGCTACAAATGGAGGAAAATGAATAGATACAAATAAGGTACTTAATCTCAATTTATTACAATAACTTTTATTTTTAACTTGATTGAAGCAAAAGATAAGATTATTCATAACAAATGAGTAAGTCTGGCATCAGCACCAAAATGGCTTCTAACAGGGTTGGGCGGTATGAAAAAAATCTTATCGTAGCATGAGTAATAATATATCACAGTAATGATATATCATTATGTAGTTATTTTTTCTGGACATTTGAGTTTAATGTATTATATATTACATAACCATATAGTAATTTCTACTTTTTTCCCCCCCAATTATATATTGACTTAAATACTTTAATGAAAGGGATGGGTGTAAACCACAGGCTGTATCTGAGATTATTAATTATGTCTTTTTAAGTCTCATGTCAGAACAGATATTACAAGGCAAATCTCAACTGACCAATTGTTTATATCATTGTAAACTCAACACTAAACTGCTCAGTGTGGATTATTATAAACATTACCATAATGAACTTCTAAAGATGCTTTGAAATAATGTGTTTTGTGAAAGCGATATACAAATAAAAACTTGAGTTGTAAATGAAGCCTTATTTTATAATATGATTTGTTTTTGTTAACCAGGATAAGATGTTTCACTTCTGGGTGAACACCTTCTTCATCCCTGGACCAGAGGAGAGCTTGGAGAAGGTTGAAAATGGAGGTTTAGTGAAGGAACGGGATGGGATCCAAACCACGGAACGGGGAGAGAATGACAAGGATTATCTAATCCTGACTTTAACCAAGAACAACTTGGATAAAGCCAATAAGGATAAAGCCAACAGATACTTCTCTCCAAACTTCAAGGTGTGTTAAGCACTTTTGCTCATCGCCTTCCAATTGCTGTTCATTAAGGTGTTAAAGGGGTCATATAATGCTGCTAAAAAGAACATTATTTATTGTAATGAAATGTTTATGCGGAAAAACAAAAAAAAACATTATTTTCCACATACTGTACATTGTTTCTCCTCTATGCCCCGCCTTTTTGAAACGCGTCGATTTTTACAAAACTCATCGGTCTGAAAAAGCGAGGTGTGCTCTGATTGGCCAGCTATCCAGTGCATTGTGATTGGCCGAATACCTCAAGCGTGAGACGAAAATGTTACGCCCCTCACCATACTGTGATGGCGTGTACAAAGTAGTTAGTTTCACTTTCACAACGAAAAACACAGCAGCCTAGCGTGATCGAAAGCCCCGGCTTAGCGTGAGCTGAAGCCGGGCAAGAGTGAGCTGAGGCAGCGGGGTCGAGGACGGCGGTCCCGATAGGAGCGGTGAAAACGGTGAAAGGCAATCCACAGCACTAAGTTGATGTATTTCCTCAGCGACCAGCACGGATCAGCTCCAGGCATGACGAAGTGGATATCGTCCTCTTTTGGAAGACCAAACAAAGTAGTTTCGCTTTCACAACAAAGCACACGGCGTCTTCAGGACATGGCGGCAGCGGCAACAATACTACAGTGAGACTAAAAGTTACGCCTTCTTTCTTTGCGTGAACATTAAGGCGTTATGCAAATCTTCCCACATAGTGAGGTAGATAAGTGGGGGCCATTTTAGGGGGGTGTGGCTGACTCTTAACTTTTATAAAGAATATCTCTTTGGATTTGAGACTTTAGTCTTTGCAAATTTACAGATCTTCTTTATGCACCAAGAGCTTGTAACACTCCAAAGAGAAAGGAAAAAATGAAATCGCATCATATGACCCCTTTAAACTGCTGGCAGGCTCATCCACATGAGCCTACCACCAGTTTACAAATGTTCAAATGGCTAAAATGTGTGTTTTCCCGTTAGGTGAAGCTGTACTTCACAAAGCCAGTGGAGGAACCATCCAACTCGGAGGCCAGCACTTCTACATCTGTAACACCGGATGTTAGCGATAATGAACCAGACCATTACCGGTATTCGGACACAACAGACTCGGACCCTGAAAATGAACAGTATGATGAAGAACAGATTACTAAAGTTTGAAATATTTTTATGGGAAGAAAAAAGAAACCATACGTAATAAGAGTTGTATAAAGGAGAAAACTTGAATATGAACTGAAAGCAAGTACGTTTTTCCACCCCGTTTTTTTTTTCCCCCAAGCAGAATTAGGACACACGTCACACAAATGCCACCAGTTATAGGGACAAAAATGCTGACCAATTTTTCTTTTGTTCATTCACCCTGCTCCATGAAGTATCAACACTGATGTTCCGTGGAAAACAGCGTCAGTAGCTATTATGTAAATACATGTTCATGCCGTAACACGAGAAAGGAAACCCAGTCAGGATGGGAGATCGTTTATGGGAGAAATTCAGGAGTTCAGAATTCGCTGCTCCATCAACCTGTTGAAACCTAGGCCAGTGCTTTAATCAGCATTCATGCCCCCATGTCTGTCCTTCTCTAGTCTGTCCTACCTACTGTGAAACGCTACTCATGCTGCTGGAAGGCCGCCACGTGTCAGTCGGGCTCTGCTGTGCAGTGAAAACTGCATCTCTTGCCATTTTTTTTGTCTGCTTTCATCATTATTACTACTACTAGAATGGAGGTGGTAATGATTCTACTAAACTACATGACACCTTGGCAGAAAACGCAACATATAGCTCCACCATGTATTATTATAATTATTATTACTACTTTTTTTAATGCAAATATACAAACAACACAACAGGGAAACCAGTGTTGCAATAATGTTGATCGAAGGTGTGCATGTTATTGGAATCAGTTTCCATGTCAAATAAATAGTATACAATGTTTTTCTAAAAAAAAAAAAAAGGTTTCTAAAGTAATTTACAATTTGATTGTATTTGGGAAGAAGAAATTGCCTTCACTCGTTCTTCTGCAGATGGGATTTTAATTTCTAAACAGACATTCAGTGGCACTTCATTTATATAATTTACAAGTTTCCCTTTCAAAATTGGCACTTGTTTAAATCAGCTCTCACAGAATGCTTTTGTTTTCTGTTTGACTTCTTAAAGGGTCATGCTTTGAGCTCAAGGTAGCGTCAGTCCTAAAATTCCTCTTCAGTGTGTTGTGGGATACGGATCAATCTTTTTTGAGGGCTCTGTGGCCACTGTTCACTACAGCGATCTCTGGTCAGAACGAGTTTGATGGTGTACAGCATCTCGCGTAATGCATGTCAACATGGAGAAGCCCTTTTCTGAATGTATCAATCTTGGATGCAAGTTTTGATTAGATTTCAACAGCGTCTACATTGTTTTTCTTTCTTCCTGGCTGTGTCAGACATCAGATTTTTGGCTCCCTATAACATGTTTGTAGCTTTATCGTGCATGATCTAATGAAATCTGGATCATTTCTCCAGCAATGGTGCTTGCTAAACTAAACTCTCAATGTATAGTACAGTCATTTTGGAGCAAAGAACCTCATGGTGCAAGCATTCAAACGCACTGTGGTGCATTGTTAGTTTCTAACAATTTGATGTCCCTCACTAGCTAGTTCGTTTTTTTTCTTTTCTTATTCTTGAACCGGCCTCGTTCCCTTTGGAATGAGCATAGTGCAGCTATGGATAACGGATTTTACACAGTCTTGTGCTTGCTTCAGAAATATTAGAGCCCTATATATGAGAATATTTAAATGTATAATTTTCTTTTAAGCATGCCAAATCTTTTTTAACATCTGGCTGATGTGGCCAGACCAAAAAAAACATCTTAGTCTCTTGGGCAAGAATCTTCACTAAGGGTAGTGAGTAAGCTGCCTTTCTTGTACTGTTAATGTTCAGGCTTCACTCTTCTCACCAGCCCACTGCACACCGTACATCTCGCCTTCCTTTAGAGAAAGAATACGTTTCCCTGACATGAGGAGGAGACTGGGCCTTCCTTTATGAGATTGTACACTAACCAATCCAGGAATAAAAGCAAGCCTATCAAGGATTCTCATTTTGTTTACATTTTATCACATCACTGAAAACCTGCCAAAATTAAGCTTAATCATTTTTGTGTTATGATTTTCTGTGTGCTCAGAGGAGGAGGCATGGCCCACGGGAGGTATTCTTTGCCTTACTTGAAGTTGACAATGCTTATTCCTCTACTGCTTTGATACCTACCATTCTGCCCAATCACTGACTTATTTAAAGCTACTATAATAGAGCAACATATTGTACTAGACATTTGCACTGTTACAGGTCTTTGCAGGGTTTCAGTCAGCGGTCCACAGTATTTTTAATTTTTTTCTGGAAATACTTTACAGCAATCAAAAGTAGTAGAATAGAGGTGAAATGAAAAGACGTTAATATTGTCTCTGTGCATCCCAATAGAATCAAATGTGTTTTTATTGACTGAATTTCTTTTCTTTTTTTTAAAGAAAGCATAAAAAAGAAAAAAAAAAGAATAAAGCGACGATTTATGAAAGTATTCGTTCACATTCTGGCAGTGACCCTCTGCAGGTATTTCCCATAGTCTCTCTAAATGTACGCTGATGTGTTTTAAATGTTTAGCGGTTTAATGTGTGACTCTACTGAAGAGTATCACATGATGAACTTGAATTTAAAAGGATAGTTCACCCAAATATTCTGCCATCATTTACTCACCTTTGTGTCTTTCCAAACCCATATGAACAAAAACAAGATGTTTTGAAGAATGTTTCAGCTGTTTTTGTCCACACAATAAAAGTTAATTTGGTTCCACCATTCATTTTATTATATGGACAAATACAGGTTTGGAACATCACACTGTAAAAATTGAGTATATTTGACAAGAAAATACTATTTCAGTCTTTATACTTAATTTCAAATTTAATTGTCACGTGCCATTTCTTAGTAGTTATTTATGACATTTACTAGCAATTTCACCACCATATTTTTTTTTAGCGCATGAGTAAATGATGAATGTTCATTTTTAGGTGAACTATCCTTTTAAGCCTCAGATCGTCTCTGCAACGAGACGCATCCCTTGACATTTTGACAATTTAGCCACAGTACCTTTATACGCAGACCCTCAGACATCTTGTACGTGGCACGGGTGTGTGGAGCTCACAGGCAGCATGAAAAATTAATTTTCAGCTTTAATGAAAAACAAAACGTCTTCAAGGTGCCAGTGTAAATGTTTCACGTCACTCTTTCTTAGCTGATTTGTGCAATATGTTGTTATGATGCCTGTGGTTGCCACAAAGTGCCTCTCGTTTACAGTTAAAGAAAAAGTACTCGCTTTAAAAACTGTCGTCGGACATCGTGTCATGCATGCGGACGGTTGGATGGATAGATGGGGTGGTACTGTGCACTAAATCGTCCAGCTATTGCAGTAGGGGGCCCTTTGGACTTTGGCCATGCTCCATTAGAAATCATTCTTCTCCCCAGAGTGTTTTTACGTTCACGTAATGTAAACGTGGTATATTTTCAGTCTTTTAAGAAAACAGCCTTACTCCGTTTCAGCCTGTTCAGATACTATTGTGCTGTGCAACAGTTGCTCTGTGTGTAATGCCTATGCACTGAGAATACACAAACCAACCATATATGAACTATTGTACAGGTAATCATGTTGCTCATACAAATCACGTTTGTTTGTAATTGTATGTGTAAACTGCCCTTTATCTTAGTGTTATAAACTCCACATAAATCCAATAAAGTCTCATTCTTGTCAGTTTATTGTTTTTGACAGCTTTCGATATGTCTCTGAATTCATAGTTGCATGGCAGGTTCCTGTAGCATTTGTTGATTACCACAAAAATGTATTTTGACCCTCATTCTCAAAGTTATGAGAAGCAAAAATCAAGGTTATGGAGAACTTGGTGTATTCTTTAAATTATTTTGTGTATTATTTAAGTTTTAAAGGGGTTATGTGATGTTGCTAAGAAAGAACATTATTTTGTGTATTTGGCATAACGAAATGTGTTTATGCGGTTTAAGGTAAAAAAAAACAAAAAAAACATGATTTTCCACATATTGTACATTGTTTCTCCTCTAAAGCCAATCCGCCGATCCACAGCATGAAATTTGATGTATTTCCTCAGCGACTAGCACGGATCAGCTCTAGGCACGATGAAGCGGATATCATCCTCTTTTGGAAGACCAAACAAAGTAGTTTCGCTTTCACAACGAAACACACAGCGCCTTCACGACATGGTGGCGGCAACAGTACTACAGTGAGAATAAAGCTACGCCTTCTTTCTTTGCGAGAACATTTGGGCGGTGTTATGCAAATCTTCCCACATAGTGACGTAGATATGTGGGGGCATGTTAGAACGAACTGTTTTAGGTAGGCGTGGTTGACAACTTTTATAAAGAATATCTCTTTGGATTTGAGACTTTAGTCTTTCAACTTTACAGATCTTCTTTATGCACCAAGAGCTTGTAACACTCCAAAGAGAGAGAGGAAAATTTGAAATCGCATCATATGACCCTTTTAAAACTTTATGCATTTCACAAGTTTAGTAAGTGATTCTTTCACACTGCAATAATGTCATCATATACTGTATAAGCAATGTTTATTTTTAAACTTACAACTTGGCCCCATTCATTTGCATTATAAGTTTCTCATTGCAACCTAGATTTTTTTTTTGAAGAGTTCATTTGCAAAAACATAACTCAAAACTCGAGAAAACAGATACGTTTTTTCATTGTGCATTCCAAATTAATCTCAATCAAACTGCAGTTGAGTTATTTTCATTAGGTTAAAAAATAACAAAAAAATACAGCTAACACAAAAACATGATATAATAAAAAACATAATTAAAAAAAAAAAACTATCTGTTTTTCCAAATAAACTAGAAACTATAAAAAGAAAAGAGTTTAAATTAATTGTGATTATCAAGACTATAAAAAGAAGTTTAAATTAATTGTGATTATCAAGAAATGTTTAACAATAGCTGTCAATTGAGTATTTAACTTGGAATATTCCAACAAGGAGCCCTAAATTTAAGCTGTAATGTTCATATTCATGAACAAAAATCATCAGTTTTCACTCAAGTACATGTATACTTGTTACTGAAATGAAATGATTATCTCACTCATATGAAAATTCTGTTGGGTAATCTAGTCTTGCTTTTTCTGGCCAAATGCATTCGTGTGATGACTGTTTTACTTGAGAAGGCCTCATGGTTTTTGTTGCCAGCTGCCCATTACAGCTCTAGTTCTGGCTGAACTCATGACTTCAGTCTCATGCTGAAGGTGCTTTTCATGTCAGCTGAGAAAAAATTCAGGAAAACGAATGTAGTTCTGTTTTTTTTCCCCCTCTCTCCCTTTAACGTCTCTAAAACTGCTCTTGGGGACTATTTAGATTTTCTCGACAGAATGAAGAAATATTTATAACCTTCTGTAAATAAACTGCCTTATGGGATACATCTTTGTGCCCAGAAAATAAACTTTGATTTTAAATATATCTCTATTAGGTTTAAAAAGAGATCCAAGTTAAAACCTCAAACCACACTTTGTGTCTGGAGCCTGACTGGAGATGACCTCTGATTTACCCTTCTACCCTGTTATCTATAAATAAAGGCCTTGTCGGACCTACAGGAGCCGCAGAGACGCTGCTTACATAACCTGTGTGCATGAATCTCACTCATTTCCAAGAGAAATTGGTTAAATGTACAGCTTGTCGTCTTCGCTGATCTTTGATAGCGCTGTGTCTGCTGTTTGAAATGAATGTGGCGTGATAAACCCTTAAGAAGAAATCATTTGAATTTAGGATGTTATTATTCAAGGTTTCAAGTCGAGGTTTTCATCAGGTTTTCACCCTCAAGCACTATGTTAAATATAATTTAATAAAGAATCCCCTTTAAATTTCACCAATGAGAGATCTTCGCCCTGTCTGAGACACGTGTGACTCAAATAAGCTGCTACTCCGAGATATAGGCTACATTTCATTATTACTGTTCACATCATACCCCATTTGCAAATTGTTTTTATAATAATAATAATATAACATAATATATAACGGTAACACTTTATTTTGATAGTCCATTTTAGACATTCTACTAACAGTACTTTGCAACTACATGTCAACTAGCAGTCATTAGAGTATTAGCAGACTGTCTGCTTAATATCTTCTAACACTTTATTTTGATAGGTCCACGACATATACTTGCAAAGTTTCTCATAGTCAGTATGTTGTACGTGTCAACTTATTCTACAAACCCTAAACCTAACCTAACAGTCTACTCTGAGAGTTAGCAGACATGTAGCAGCAAATGAATGAGAATGGTTAAATATAATTTAATAAAGAATCCCCTTTAAATTTCACCAATGAGAGATCTTCGCCCTGTCTGAGACACGTGTGACTCAAATAAGCTGCTACTCCGAGATATAGGCTACATTTCATTATTACTGTTCACATCATACCCCATTAGCAAATTGTTTTTATAATAATAATAATATAACATAATATATAACGGTAACACTTTATTTTGATAGTCCATTTTAGACATTCTACTAACAGTACTTTGCAACTACATGTCAACTAGCAGTCATTAGAGTATTAGCAGACTGTCTGCTTAATATCTTCTAACACTTTATTTTGATAGGTCCACGACATATACTTGCAAAGTTTCTCATAGTCAGTATGTTGTACGTGTCAACTTATTCTACAAACCCTAAACCTAACCTAACAGTCTACTCTGAGAGTTAGCAGACATGTAGCAGCAAATGAATGAGAATGTAGTTGCAAAGTTACTTATAGTTAGTAAAATGTCTAAAGTGGACTATCAAAGTAAAGTGT